AAAACTAAGTATTTATCAAATAAATTCCAACCCATCGATTTTTTTTAGATTGTTCTAATTTATTAATAATTACCATATAGAAGTCACTCGCACACTGTGCTTTCTTGTCACACATACCCAACACACTCCCAGCAAACATTTTGGCTTAATTTGACGTCGATACTACCTGAAATGTAATATAATAAATTTGGTCGCAAAATTAGATTTAACCATATGTTAGTAAAATTTACGTTGGTTCGATGTGAATTCGACATAAGTGGAGAACAAGGCGACGTCGAATTTGGTTTTATTGTCCAAAATAGGTAGAATTAGATTGAAATCCATATTGTAGTAGCCCAGTACGTTTGGTTAGAGGTTCCACGTGAATGATCTAGGTCAAAACCGACAACTGACATTTTTTATGCTATTTGTTCCAAACGCTAGATGGAGCTACTTGTGAAATTGTGTTTTCTTCCTCCATTTTTTTAATGAGTGCAACTTAACCAAAGAATCCAAAGATTATGACATGTATTTATGTTTTTGTATTCCGATTTTTTCGTCTGATTTTAGTGGTTTTTTTTGTTGGCTTTCTTATGGTTTCTGTTTATAGTGTCTTCTTAGTTATTTACAAAATTGTGATGTTTTGTTGTTCTATTTCCTACTATGTTTTTCAATGTTTTTGGTGCTACGTTAAAAACTTGGAGAAATACTTATTGATTCATTATGCATCATAAAAAGACAAACGGGTATACCTAATTGATAGCTGGGCTAGATCCCGAAATAATTTTTTACATAAGAGAGTATACCATCTGTGTTTGGAAGGAAAATATTTTTTATCAGTTAATGAATTGTTCTTTTAATCCAATAGTACCTATATTACATTTATCCTCAGGTAAAAAGACATTTATAAAATATAACTTTAGTGTTAACAAAATGTAATATACTAGTCTCTACTTCACATTTAAATATATTAATATTTTAAAGATTTTAGATTGTATACGTATACCTATTTGCTCCAAGTAAGTATTCGTTAAATGCATAGTTAAATATGTATTATTATTTGTATTTATTTTGTTCTAATAATATTTAAGTTATTAATAAACATATTTTAAGAATACTCTAATTTATTACTAATTGATATATCTTATATTTAATAATAATATGCAAAATTAACTCTCCACATCGGACCCGCTATAACAAACTAATTCTTCAAATTTGACACTATATCGACCTAAATTATTTTGTAAAATAAAAATTTCGAATTTACTAGTTTCATACTTTATTGTATAAAATAATTAATGTGGAAATCATTTAAAATTTAATTTAGAACTACTGTCTACTACTAAAAATTACAATTTGAATTTACCGCCATATGTCAATTGTCACTTTAGTTCCTACTCCAAACTCAAGGTGGCGCTTCTTTGGTTTAAATGTCTAACATTGGCGTAAGGTCTCTAGAAGATACGTGTTTTGTGGTAATACTCACATACTTTGATTACTATACGGTGCAAGAGAGAGGTCCGACACGCCTAACATAGGGTGCGGCCATTTTGATTCCTATGCCACAGTTTATAGCTAAAGAATCAGTTCGCTCACTCTGCGTCGGCACTTTTGAGCTCAATGTTCCAGTTTATACACTGCGCAACTCGAATAATACAATATATGACAACCGCCTATAATAAAACAGCAGTCTTCTGCGTATCCTGAATTTGTATCCCTGGAGTGGATGTTATTTTGGAACTTTCAACTGGTCCTAGTGAGCTAACTGATTCTTTAGCAATAAACTGTGACTCCAAAAATAATATTCACTGACACCACATATTTTGATTACTATACGGTGCAAGAGAGAGGTCCGACACGCCTAACATAGGGTGCGGCCATTTTGATTCCTATGCCACAGTTTATAGCTAAAGAATCAGTTCGCTCACTCTGCGTCGGCACTTTTGATCTCAATGTTCCAGTTTATACACTGCGCAACTCGAATAATACAATATATGACAACCGCATATAATAAAACAGCAGTCTTCTGCGTATCCTGAATTTGTATCCCTGGAGTGGATGTTATTTTGGAACTTTCAACTGGTCCGAGTGAGCTAACTGATTCTTTAGCAATAAACTCTGACTCCAAAAATAATTCACTGACACTGACAGCAGCAAGCAAAATATCAGGTGCGTTTTAGTCATCCGCTTCTGCTTCTGGAATTGTCGGTTTAGTCGTTTTAACCTGTCAGATTAAAACAAGAAAACCGACAATTCCGAAGCAGAAGCGGATGATTAAAAAGCACCTATTAAAAATATTGCGCCAAGATGTAGGCAACACGTAATAAGGGATCAAAATGGCAGAGTTTTCTATCTCCTTTTAACAGGCACTCCGAAAGCTGCGCAGTGCGACCATTCTCCGTATAGTAAAAGAAAATCAAAGTATGTGGGTAATACCTCTCTAGGGAAATTTGAAGTCAGTTTAACGTCAATTTGACATTGATTTAACTAGCTTTAGGTAGAAACTACAAACATATTTGCATGTGACGAATGACTCCAACAACGGCACAAAAAGATACATTTTATACTTATTTGGTATATTTATCCATAGAAATAGAAATATTGTGGGAAGTGACCCACACAACTGAAACATATACTTAATTCACAGCAAAGATTGGAAAGAATAAATGGCGGTAAACAAATACTTTTTTTTTGTTTGATTTCTGTCCCAGATACATTTATCTTATTTGTCAATGTCGTGTGTATCTTTTTAGTGCCATAACCACCTATATATTTTTTTATTTCTGTCCATACACTCCATACAGTCATATTGTTTATGATAAGTTAAACATTTTTTAACGCTATAATGGCAACTTAACCTATTTAATTATTTTAATTGATATTGATTACTATGGATTTGTTTATATAGTAAAGCCTCGGGTACATTTCAATTCACATTGGAGGGTCCAGGGTTTAATTTATTAAATGATATGAGCAGGAGTTTAGGTTAGGCTAGGACAAGAAAACACATAGATCTTGTATTCAAATGTATCTGGCGCCACTTATTTTTAATTTGAATACTTTGAATACTTTGGTACTAAATGGACCACGACTTTCTCCACTCAGAGCAAAACCAGAGCCAGTACTGTTCATCAAACAGTCGAGACTTTTTTCGTTACCTGTAGATCTTCGTCAATTGATAATTTTCTTTGTTAGTTGAATTTAGTGGCAACAATTGAACCTTATGAGTCACCCTTACTTTGACAAAACTTCATATCGGGACAAGTTTGAACTTTTTGTCGAAATAGGTGGAAAGCTGATGTAATTTAATTTTTCTTGTGATGACGTGTAAAGGAATTGTTTATTAATTATTTTAGGATGGCCACCCTTTTATTGCATCTAAACGTAAAATTTAAGGAAAACCATACTCAAAATTTTATTTCTTTAAAATTACTAAAAACTAAAATTGATGGAAAAACTCTTTACCAGTGGTTCTCAAACTTTTTTGGTGACGGAACCTTTTTGAAAAGCGAAATATTTAACGGAGCCTTAAACACATTTATAAAAAAAATTCCTCCGAGCGAAATCCTCATTGTTCTAGCCTCTTGCCAGGTCCCTCCCGTTTTTTCGCAGAGCCTCTAAAAAAAGATCCTTCAATCAAACTCATATACTCCTTCCTCTTACCGACTTCTAAAACAAAAAAAAGGTCCTCAAGCCAAGTCCCGTTGTAGCGATAGTACTGCTTTTTTTGTTGTGTCTATTATTTTCTTCGCGGAGTCCCCACAAAGGATTTGCGAAGCCCCAGGGCTACGCGGACCACACTTTGAGTAACGCTTGCTCTATACCAATGCATAAAAACAAATAATTTTTTGTTTCAGGCAATTTTAAACTTTGGAGATGAAAAAACATTAGAGCCGAGACCAGAGTTCCGTTAAAGCCTAGAATACAAGAAAGAGTTTTTGTTATTTTTTATTGTTTTGAATTTAATATGATCTGAATAATAGTATGGAAAATCGAAACTAGCTTATGGCAAGGAAGTTTAAATTGATGGCCAAATAACCTTTGTACAGTGGACGCGGGCTAACCATTTTTATACAATACCTTAACACAAGAAGCGTAACGTGTAATCAGACCAATATTTCATGTGTAGTACAAGATAGATTAAAATAGATGATATGACTATAAGTTGTTATCAAGTTCAATTCCCTTCGCCACCATATCGAAATTATATAATTTTTACAAACATATTAATTCTCAAATTTCGGTAAAAAAGGTACCTATATACCCGCTTAAATTTCAAGTTAATAACAAAAATGTTGTTTTAGTTAATCCGATTTCTGAAAAAAATTTGTTCTCAACAAAAATTGAAAACGGCACGGGTCACGACCCGTTATTACTCGGGCCCTACATCAGTCGTCTCACCCTTCGTACAATCTTCTTCTTTGGCGATGGCCTCCGGTGACTAGCCGAAGATACTCTGACAGCTATCACTCTCACGACCCGGCCAGACTGCACGACTTGGCCCGTTGGCCCATCACACAGCTCTCATTATGTTATGAAAGCGGCGTGTTACCGGCGTTCGTGTTTGTTTAAGGCTAAAGCAATAATTACCGGTTCACTATCGAACCATCCAATGGTTTAGTCCATGAGCCGAAATTTATGTATTCATCTTAGTCTGGTATCGAAACGAATAGACCATTCTTTTATGTCCTTCTTCGGATTTGCTTCAATTGCTTTCCGCTTATCTACTGCAACGGAAATAAGGAGAGGAAATCGGAAATTGATCGACCATATCCCGAAGAAAAACAATATAGAAAAGTCATTTTATAAGTATTATGTTGATGTAATAAAAAGTAAAAAATACCCACAACAGTGGGCCCCAGATTGACAAGATGTTTGAGCTGGGCTTTAAACAATTGCTCAATTTCCTTCATCCATCATTCTTTATGTGTATTGAGCAGCTCACTAAAATATTCACTGTACGAAACCTGTTCAAACTCAAAGTGAAACGAGGGAGGGAAATTAATGGAATCCATTATCACCTTACCGAGGGGTATAACAGTCAATGTGTGCCCTCTGACAGCCCTAGCATAAGCGTGTCCTGTCATAATCTCAGTGCTGTTAACTGCATAGACAGTATTGAACAGTTCAGTTAGGCCACTGCCTTCCATTATGCAACCCACTGCCCCCATGAACGATATGAAAAAGTGAAACCCTCCAAGCCTTACAACTCAGGATCTCCCTCACGGCTTGCTATGACATCTCGCGACTTGAGGTATAGGGGCTGATCGAACGAAACAAACGATGTTTGTTGTCCAGGACAACAGGAATGTGTATTCTGGATAGCAGTTAACAGTGATGTATATATAGTGTCGTAATCGCTTGTAGGTACATTGATGAAGGGCTGGCGTCAATGAAAGTTGTTTCATACGGTATGCCTCTGGCCACCTCCTCCATGAAACCATTCCATCCGTTAATACCCGGAATGTCTTTAGATTTACTATAAAGCCATACCAACAGTGACGGTGATGGGACAATGAAGAAATGATCAGTATATGCATATAAACTAATCCAAATTTAAAATGTGTATGCTCACTGAATGCAAAATTTGATGCTTTACAACTTTTGTTCTATGAGTTTTTCACGTCAGTGGCTCTTCAACTGTGAATAGAACGACATTTTCCGTACGATGCATCATTTCCATTATATGAGCGGAAAACCAGAAAAACTCCGAAAATTTCGGGGATTTTTGCGTTTTTCGAAGTGGCACTGCTACGAGGGAGCAAACTTCAGATTCGTGTTCAGCACCCTAAAAAACATATAATTCCGTTGAGAAACCTTCTACCGCAATCATGTTACGAAACAGGCACTTTTGAACACCATTTGTTCTATTACTGCATTTTTTTAATTGCCGCTCAAAATCCTTGAAAGCTGTAACCAGACTAGAAACAAAAACAAAATCCAAGAGTGTTGTGAACAGCCTTAGTTTAAAAATAGATGGTGTGGAATTCATTATTTCTGAGCCCATAATTTAGCCCTGGTTTTTTCCAGTACTGGACATCACAGCTTAAAAAAAAGTTTACTACGAGATACATTACTTCCAAATGGAATGGATGCATTTCAAATTATATTGTCACTTTATTAGGGAGCCACTCCTTTTCCTAAAAGCCTCATAACACGGTCTTCACCCCATGATCATCTTTTTTCTTTTCAGTTTTATTTTATGAGGACAGGATATCTCTATTACTAAAGATCTCTGTATTTGGCGTTACATCTCTTATATAATATAAGTTGTACAGTTTTCTTCGTCTCTAAATCACCGTAGTTATATTGTTAGGGTTTTTATTCTTAAATTACAGATGCTGGACATAAGTCTTCGTCGAGTTGAAATTTGAGCCAAATCACTTTTTATTAGTTACTATATCGCAAGATGTATCGTCTTCGATAGTATATTGGTTGTTATGTCCATATTTGTATGTTCATCTGTATTATTATGGTGTATGAAATACACTGTAACAGGAATCATTTCCGGCCATTGCTAACTAGAAGGTTGCCTTGAAAATAGTAGAAGATAGTGAGACCAGATTCTATGAGAAGGCGGATGAAACCTCTTTCACACTCTGATTGAATGTGTAACACTCAAGAATCCAAGGGCACTATACTTAGAAGCATACCAAATAAAAGAGGTCGATCGAGTCATTCCAAATCCTACACTTCCTTAAGAAGATAGGATTGGAAGGGCCGTTATAGACACCGAGACTATTTCGTCGATGCATTAGCAAAAAAAGGGCTCACAATAAATCTTTTAGGTCGCAATGCATTAATAACTCATACTCAACATATCATATGTACATACGGTATGTCAAAAGATGTAGATTCACAAGCGGATTTTATTCCTTCTGTGATCTTTTTTCTAATTGTCTCTATAAGATTGTCCTATATCCTACGCTTGCTTTCACTGTAAATTCCAAAGTATAACGGCTGCTTTATGATGTCATTTCTTGATTTTTATACCTACTATCTTAATTACCAGGTCTTTTTAGAATATCGCAAACTTTCTTTTTATTTGATTGCTTTGTAATTAAATTAAAATTGTAACTGAAAAAACGACTCACACAAATAGTTTCTAGGTTTTAGAGGACAATAATAAGATGCTCTAGTTATTCTTAGCAAAAATCCTTCTTCGGTGATATCTCCTTCACATTTCTGTATAAATGACCACCAAATACATATCTACATTAATTTTGAAGATAATAGATTCTCAATCATGGTCCTCAACTTAAAAGACTTCGAAAAGTATATAAATATACGATAACAAAATAAGAATAGCAGATTGACCGAAGAAATTAGCAAATGAAGCATATAAATTATTATAAGGGCTAGTCGAATTTGGCCCAATATATGACAAGACCTAAAAGAACAAAATAGACAAAATCATCTTTAGATGGGGACCAAGAATACGCTAGCGTAGCACAATAATAACAAGTAAGAAATAGGTGGACCATAATAAAGAAAAAAATAAAAAGAACTGGCAACAGGTAGCACATAATGAAAGAGAGTGGAAGATAAAACAGAAGGTACTCCTATAATTCTGCAGGTTTGAACAAATAGCTGAGAAATAAGAAGAAATTTAAATTTACTCATTTTAAACCTTCACATTTTTTATGTGCTATTGTTATTATAATATCTTATTATTATTCGTTATCTTTTATTAAATAAAGTTTACTCTCACTACTATCACTATATTTTTCAAAGTCAATCTTTTCTTTATTTCTTTAACTTTTTGTACTATTTCTTCTTGTAATATTGTTGATAACATTTCTATTAATTAAATCGTTATAGGTATATTTTGTAAGTTCTGTATAAATTTGTATCCTTAACAATACTATCTAGCTATCCTTGCTTTATTGCATTTCAAGCTGTTCATCACATTTGCTTTTCTTTATTACTTGCATTGTTAGTAAAAAATCGAGGTGCTATGTAATTAATAAACCATTATTATATTTAATAGCTTTCAGCTCACTACCTATAATATTTTTTACCTATGTTATAGCACGAGGTTGTTTTTATCAAGTGCTACAACTTCAGTGTTTGCCATGTAATTTAATATTTTGCAGTTTATTGATTCTTTTCATCTATAATTATTGACAGTATCAGTATCGGGTTCACCATTTACAGACTTTTAAGCGTTTATGGAATGCACATTAAGAACTCATCGCAAAAATCAACGTCCAATAAACTGCTTCATGAACATGAACTAATACAACTAACGATTAGAAGTTCCGATTGTGAGCTTAGAAATTGAGTAAATAAAGATTATTCGATCCCGGTTTTAACGAAAATTTATGTTCTAATAGTAATAATTTTCGAACATTAATTATTTTTCAGAAAAATTTGCAGGATTTTCAAACAAAGATTAGAACTGCAGTAGAAAGTTATTAGTAAATAGGAAGCTTAGGTAACTTAGATGCCACTGATGCCAGTAGAACGTATTGGAACATTACCTCCAATTATTTGCAGTACTAATGAGGAAGTTACTCTATACATAAATGAGAAAAATATTATCATATCCTATTGTAATGGAGGCATGTATTGAACAACATATCATAACTAACTACTTGAAAAAATTGATAGAATCGTGTTTACAGAAATATTGCGTTGTTAATCAATGTCAAACAATAGTAGTAGAGAACAACAAAGTTAAATATAAATGTCAAAATGACGATAAGATATTGTAGAAGTTATTTTTTTATTTTGGTGTCGTTGGAATCTACTACTGGGATCATTAGTACTCTTTTATATGTATTATTTTTAATTGTTTAAAGATAGAGTAACATCATAGATTCATAAATAAATTAAATTACATACCTGTTTGGCAGCAAATAAGTTTTGCCTCCATTAAGCAACACTTTTTACATTTAATATACATAAGAGAAAATAAATTACAATTGCCAAATGTGATTAATTCGGAAAATCATGTCACAACAAAGTCGAACGACTGTTTCCCCCCTGAAAACAACTACTCCCTTGGCTAATACCGCATCAGGCATTGCGTTATATCAAAAGATAAACAGATTAGATTAGATTAGGAGTTGGACGTTATTTGTCCTTGTCCACCGCGAACTTTTTAGATCTATTGTAGGACTCCGTTTGTTTTAGAGTATGTCGTCTAGCCTGGTCTTTTTTATTGACAGTGGCTCCCGCATGTAGTTGCATTCAATTGGCTTTTCTTCGCCCAGTGTTAGAAACCTCATTCCAGCCAGGCTTTCACATTGGCACAGGACGTGGAATGATGTTTCCTCTTCTTCTTCTTCACAGAACCTGCTCAAAGTTGCTTCTTCTGCTGGATTTATGACACTCATGTGTCTTTTGAGGCGACAGTGTCCAGTAAGAAGGCCTACTGTTATCCTAACGATTTGACGCTTTTGATCCAGTAGGACTTTCGTAAACTTGGCCGATGGTTCCTTGATGAACTAACTGTCTCAGTCTTGGATAGTTGTTCAACCATTCCTGAGACTCTTTTTGCATCCATTGTTTAATGGATGCATTTCACAATGCCTTAGCAACTCCACAGAAGGGTTCGGGGCCTGTCATTGCCTTATCTGAGCCTTCTCGGGCTAGTTCGTCGGCCTTTTCGTTGCCCTGATATCCATCATGGCCTGGAACCCAGGCTAAGGTCACCTTATTTTGACTACTTAGCTCTGTCAGGTCTTCTAGACAGTCTTTCACCAGTCGTGATTTGATTTCTGGTGAGAGAATTGCCTTTAGAGCTGCTTGACTATCAGAGTATATGGCAATAGTTTTGCCTGATACTTGCTGATTTAATATTTCTCTTGCACAGTGTTGTATGGCTATTAGCTCAGCCCGGAACACTGTTGCATATTTTCCTAAACTCAGTGAAATCGTTGATTTCGACTTGGGTCCATAGATTCCAGCACCGGCTTCTTCCTTGGGTTTTGAACCGTCTGTGTACCAGACGAGTTCAGCCTGTACGGGAGGTCCCTGTTTTCAGGATTCTCGCGCTGGTATTTGAATTTTAAAATTTCTTTCAAATTTGTATGTGGTTATGGCTCTATCAGTAGGCATAGCTAGAATATTATCCCTTTTTACTTGCTGATATAGCCTTGTGTGGTCGGCGCTATGTAGTTGGCTTATTGGGTTTTGTCCCTGCATTAGCCTGCGAATAGCTGAC